TTGGAGACACTTCTGAGTGTCTTGGCTTGGCCGAGACACTTGTAAGTGTCTTAGCCAAGCCAAGACACCTCGGGGTGTCTCGGTTTGGTTTTTTTTATTTTTGGTACGTCGAGTTTGTTTCTACCGTATATTCGTCATCAGGACTCAGAATTATGCGGTTCAAGATGCGTCGGAAAGTCGACGAGGAGATCTACGGACTTCCATGATTGAATCATATCTGGAGTAAACGACGCGGGGCTCCCGATCAGCTCTTGTTTCTGTTATTCCGAAGTTCCGTTGCTTCGTATGATCCGTCGACTCACTTCATGCGTTTGACGTTGTCAAATAAGCTTCTGTAACTCTAATAGCAACGTTCATCGTCTTCTCCCTGTCTCGAGCCACATGCGGGGACCTATGGGCAATTTTTAACGTCTACACCCGAGAGCACCAATCACTCAAGAGTTCTAAGATGATCCTCTCTTTCGCCTAGAAGATGACTTTCTTAACACTCGCACATTCTTTTTCCGATGACAAATCAATACTCATAATTGCTCTTGACAATTTTCAAGAGTAACCCTTCAAACTTTCATGGTCAAACATGCATGAATCTTCCTCATTTTAAGATTTGTAAAGAATCCAAACAAATACTCTATAGATTGGATTGCCTGTCAATTATGCTTTCCCCTATTAGCACTTATATATCCTCACTTATTTTTGGTGGCAGTTATATACCTAAAGTTTTTAAAGCGTGCACTTGAATATCCTTACTTGTTTTTCACAACACTTGTATACACTAAAATCTTTAAAAATTGTACTTAAAATATTCTTAGTTATGCAGACATTATTGCTGAAGCAGTTAAAGCAATAGATAAAACATACAAAACAAAGAAATACGACTTATCGATACGTGGACATAACACTTGTTATTATTGAAGATTATTTGGTTCTCTGTATCTTTCGAAAGTTTTCGTGTTTGTTTGATAATTACTGATTGCAACAAATGCCCGACCTGTTCACAGCCCAATCCAAATCTGGCTTCGGTCGCAGCCTAGTATTGTAATGGGCGCCTAAGCGGGTGCTTTATTACCAGCAACTTAAACACAGCCGCTTTATCAGCAACTAAGGTTCAAGGGGGTGCTTTAGTTGTGGGGGAACTATGCACAACCTTTATAATTGGCGAAATAAGGAACTAAGCACAAACTTTGACTCTTTCATATTATTATTATTGTTTTAAAGTTAGTTACGTTGAATATGAATTTCATCAAATTTATCTAAATGTGATTTTCCCATTAATTTCACATCTATAAATATTTTTATTTAAATGTAATAGAACCTTTTCCGATTCCACCAAAAAAATGTTTTTATTTATTTGATTTCATATTGAACATGTTTCTGCTTGAATATTGATATCGTGCTAATTATAATTGGCGAATTCAAAATTGATTTTGTATGTAGAAAATTCCATATCTTACTATAATTTTAACACGGTAATACTTTAATCCTCTTAATATTTGGTACGAAACTTTGTTTCTGTGATACGAATAGCGAATTAGCTGGACCTTATATGACACGGCCCAAAGCCTGCCCGTTAGAGTATAAACGCTTAAGCGGCGCAACAACGGGTGCTTTATTATCCGTACGCTTTTTACAGGCGAGAAATCGGTCTTAACACCGACCTGCTCGATTAACCGCGTGGGGATAGTAAAGCGTCCACTTTAGGCGCCCATTAGGCGTTCGGGCTGGGACTGGGCCAGAGATGGGCCGGGCCAATTATGTTCCAAGAGTACTTAGTCAATTATGTCTAGTTTCAGGCTAGCACCTTGTCACCTGCAAATTGTAGCTTAATATCGTTTTTTTACGAAATTGATTTACAATATTTGGGAAACAAATGAAGCCATGAAGGTTCAAAGAAATAAAGTGAGGCCGAAATTAGAAACTCTAAAATAGCTTTTTCATTTTACTCCCCGTTGATTATTGATCCGATATAGTTTTTTTTAACCCGACCTAGTTTGGTGATCCATAAAGAAATTCGCTTTAAAACCTGCCGCTTTTAAAACGTACGCTTATGAGCGCAAGAGTGTCCAATTACGTGGTAACTGAACGAATTGGAGAATGTCCAATTAGATGACATTTGGAGAGCGTCTAATTCTTTCAATTATTGATATATATTTCCAATTTAGGGGACAACCTGACGTGATCAGGCCAAGTAAAATTTCACTATTGTGATATTGAGTTTCCAGAATAGTGGTTTTCCAAACCATAGTGGTTTAATGACAATAACAGAATCCTACATTGCCTAATATTATTCATTAAATTTGGAATATACGACAATGATTGGAGGAATTTAATCCTCTCTAACTAGATGATGATTTGAGAGTATCCAATTCCTCCAAATATTTGCAGTGTGTTTCTAATTCAAAGGATGAGACTTAGACCACGTAGGATCGCACTATTGTGATAATGATTTTTTAAAGACAATAATAAACATCACGCATCGAAATGGAGGGCTAGTGGTGGCAGTGACCGCCCCAGGATTCCTAAAATCAAAGAAAATGAAATCGGTACAAGGAAATCAATAAAATAATATTTTTATCCATTTCCATCCCTAAAACTCACCCATAACATCCAATAAAATATTATTTTTATCATCCAACTCATCTCATTTCATCTCCTTTCTTACCTTTAAAAATAAACCAAACACAAGAAATGTGTCACATCATCCAACTCACCACATCTCATCTTATCTCATTTTTAAAAATCACACACATCATCCAATAATATTGTGACAACTCATCTCATCTCATTAAAACTTCCTTTCCATCCATTTCCTAAAAAAAAAACAAGAAATTGATTTCCTTAAGTATGTGTCACATCATCCAATAATATACCTCCAACTCATCTCATCTCATCTATTTTCTTATTTTTAAAAACGAACCAAACACAAACAACCTCAAAACATCATCCAATAATATACCTCCAATTCATTTCCTTATTTTTTTAACCAATACCTCCAATTCATTTCCTTATTTTTTTAACCAACCAAACAACCTCAAAACAATTTTTTTAAAAAAATCTCTCACATCATCCAATAATAAGGTGACAACTCATCTCATCTCTTCTCCTATTCTATAATTTCCTTCTTTTTTAAACCAACCAAACAACCTCAAAACAATTATTATAGGAAATAGGTTTCCTATTCTTTGATTTCCCTTTTTTTTTGCGAAACGAACAACCCTTAAAAGAAAATCTCAAAAACTACTATTCATGGTACGGTAAACACCATTTTTTCTACAGTATGCATGTTGTTGTAATATTTTCAACATTTGCATTAGTGTTCACGTTGCAATTATTTTCTCCCCTTTACACACTCTTCATACTATAGTGTAATTTTTTAATCGTAAACATGTTCTATATGCTATAGTGAATTATTTGGCACTTTATCCACTGTGCAAGCTGAAAAAATATTTTTTAATCTTGAAAATATTGTTCATAACTTTTTTTGTTCTTACAAATGATAATTTTAACCTTATCAGACTTTTCATAAATATAAATCTTTTCTAGCTCTATTATAGAAAATTGATAAAACTTGTTAATTAGTATATTATTTTGTTAATTGATTTGGAAATTCACTCTGTAAATCGTAGTAAAAATTATTGCTAATTTTTTTATAAATAGTTATATATAAAAATTATATTATCAATTTAACAATGAATATAACTTGGTGAATAATACACACAACAACGCCCGGGCCGAATACTAGTTATGTTATATTTATGTTATATTAGGAAGAAGGTGGGAATAATTTGGTTTCACAATAAATTCTCACAGGCAGAAGAAGTAATCTAGTAGGGTCTATAACCCACAGTCGCATTCTAAGGCAATATTAAACTACGTAATACGAAACGCTAATCCTTTGTTTAGGAGTTTACTAAGGCTATGTTTGGTTTGAGGGAAATGGAGAGAAAAGAAAAGGAAAAAGAAAGTGGAAAGAAAGGAAAAGAAAAAGAAAGGAAAATAAAATTCTTTTTGTTGTTTGGTTAGTTAGAAAATTGTAAAGAAAATTGGAAGGAAAATGATAGGAAAAATCATTTCTTTTGCTTGGTTACTCTTTTTTATGAAAATCAAGTAGAAAATAGAAGCCAAGGTACATTACACCACAAATCTTATTTATTGAAATATATGAACTGTATTTTAAGTAATTTAGGATATAATTTTTTTAAAAGTTTTCAAACTTTAGATTTCATAAATACTATCAAACTTGATTTTTCATATAAATACCTCAAAATTGCTTCTAATGATAAAGCTTCTATAAATAATAATTTAATATTAAAATTCATAATAATTCATAAAAATTCGTGGTAAAGCTTATATAAATAACAAGTTAATACAAAAATACTAAATAATTCATAAAAATCAGCCATACACATTAAAAAACAAAATTACCGAGCATAATATTGCATCACTAGGTTATTTCTACAACTGAAAAACAATTCAACTTTTTTGCTAGACAAAGTAATTAAACAATCTAATCAAACAAAAATTACATTGTTTTCATTGCTTTGACAATAACTACTAAAAACAACCAACAAAATTGTAGTTGCAATAGTTGTACAAGCCCAACATTCAACAAGTACTTTTAGTTCAACTTTGTGTTCTCGACTAGTCCAAGGTCCTAACTAAAAAAGGCAAAACAAAAAGTGAACATCAAGAAATATGCTCAGAATATTTGATTCATTCAAATATTCCTACAAAGCAATAACATCAATATTTCTTCCTGACTTCAATCAAAGGCTTCAGATCTCATCTGCTTCTCTCCCTAAAGGAGAAAAAAGAAAATATTGAGTTACATTCAAATTTAAATGGACATGGAGTCAAAAAAGATTAATCGGTAAGTACCATGAACTAAGAACAAGCTTGTAGAAAATCATATTGCATTGATTCAAAACTAAGACAATGTCAATGAGAATAGCAAATTGATACAATGTATATCCAAGTAGATAAGATGGAGTGAATCATGTAGGATAAGTAACATTGAATGCATGTGGTCTAAACTAATATTGAAACATGAAACATGTATCTTCTAAACTAATATTAAAACATGAAACATGTATCTTCGATTACAAAGCAACGGGTCAACAAGAAGAATTGTGAAGAGCATACTACGTTACAACTGAGGGATGTTGTATCACTTGGTATTGTTCTACTCTTCAAGCTTAGCGTAAAAATTGTTACAATGAAACAGAGCCAATTCCAGAGTTAGGGTATACAGCCAGAGGAAATGATTACAGGCTTCTTCACAAAGCTGAGGATGCAATTGAAGGTCTAAAGGAAAGAGGAGTGAATGTGCAAATGCTTAATATTACTCAAGTAGAACACTCCGCTCTAAACAGCATGACCATGTCTAAAGGAAAGAGGAGTGAATGTGCAAATGCTTAAATACCATCACTACCCCCTTCGCACGACCCCGAACGCCCGCATGGTGACTCAGAGAACAGATATATAAACATTAACACGCACATGTACAGAATATATAGGAAAATAGGGACGAAGACATGTGATAACGTCTTTTTTAAGTGCACATAACAATAACAATCAGTTTAATAGCAACTTCACTGATAAACTGTCACATTTGGATGTATGCATCAAAAGCCATACTAATCAACCGTCTTCCTCCAATATCTCCCTTATGAAATGATTTTCTATACAAGCCTCTACAATATTTTTCACTCATCAATCGTTTTCAAGCAGCATTTCCACCTTCAGCCTGGCAACCAACTAAATACTCCAAATCCATATTTAATAAGAAGGCGACGACCATCCAAGTTCACCCATCGAACCAAAATCACTCACAATCTATTTTGATAAAAGCATGCAAAGGTTAAGGATTAGAAGTAAGTGATATTAACAGAACGTTACAAAATTGTCACACACTGCTTACATTGATTGATTACAGAATTCATACCTATAAATCTATAATAACACACGTTATGAGTTATGAAGATGAAATCCCTGACTGCACATTGAAAATTAGGATTCAATGACTGATTATAAAATCTTGGCTTCGCCACTGATTATCCAAATTAACAATTAGCAGTAGAACTATAATCTTTCTGCATAAATAAAATTGAACAAACAATCCAAATACAGTTGGTCACATATGAAAGCATTAAAAATGGAATTTTCTCAACCTGGGTTCTCTTTCTCTTCTGATTATTTGTATTCCAAGAAGAAGAAGACGGGCCCGATAGCTCAATTATATCGAGATCCTCGTCCAGATAAGACGAGCTCCCAGTAAACAGACGAGGCCTGCATCAAACGGAGGCCGTCAGAAATAACGAAATCAAGAACTAAATTTAAAAAAAAAAACCTAATCGATCGTCAATTCTCTCACTTGCTGCTCTGAGCGGCGAGCTTCGCTGCCGGAGACGGCTCCATCAAGATCAGCAAGAAAGCGAGCAGCGAAGATCGGCAATCAGTTGGGTTCTAGGGTTTCAATGAGATTCGGTCGTTGAATTTCTGACGAAAATTGGGGAAATTATTTGGGGAAAATGAGAGAGACTACCTTTGGCGTTGTCGCTTCAAAAGCTCACCCTCGGATCTCAAGTTGACGAGATCCGAAGCTCACCCTCGTATCTCAAGCTGACGAGAGCTCGAATGGAGAAACCCTACCTTTGTAGCCCTAGATTTGGGAAGAGAGAGAAAGAGAATGAGGGGGGAGAGAGAGATGGGAGATTGATCGGAGTTTTGGAGAGAGAGGGAGGTGAGAGATCGGGGAAGTCGGAGGCATTGATTCCGTCTCTCTCCCTCGTTTTCACCTGGGCAGCTGAGAGAAAGGGGGACAGAAAAGATATGTATGGATTTTTCTTCAGCGAAAATTATTTTCATTTTCTTTTTTGTTTTCTTTCAAACCAAACACTAGAAATTCACTTTCTCTTCTATTTTACTTTTCTTTTCTCTCCCTTTCCCTCAAACCAAACATAGCCTAAGAGAAGTGACAGAAAGTTAAATAATGGAAAAGAAAAGTAGGGAATGGAAGTGAAAAGATAAAATGTTGTTTGTGAGCTAAGTAAGGGGAATGGAAGCAAATTTGTTTTATCTTGTTTGGGAGTTCTAATAAAGAAGAGGGAAGTGAAGTGAATATGTATAAAGTTATATAAATACCCTTACATATTGGATAGGAGTATATCTTAGCCATTGATTTTAATGTCACAAGAGTATAATTGTCTTATCACATTGTAAAATTCTACATTGGTTTCTATTCCATCATCTACCCCCTAAATTGGAGGGGCGGAAAATGAAAGGAAATTTAACCTTCCATTTCATCCTCTAACCTCTCAAAAAAACTCCCAAACAAGGTGAAATTGAAATTTCACTTTAACTTTCATCTATTAATCTCCATCCAAGGTGTAAGGCAATATTAAATTTAATAATGCAAATACGGAACGATCTGCGCAAAGTTTATTTTTTTATTCCCCCAATTTATTGCTACACTTCTTCGCGTTGATTCAGAAAAAAATAACAATTCTTTTGATGATTACGCTTTTCGGGTAAGTTTTCTGTTCAGTTAGATTAGGATCAGGGTTTCATCTATTTCTCTTTTTCTTAATAACTTAGATCCAATTTTTGAGTCAGAAATTGCTATTTTTATTGTCTTGAATCTATTACAACTTTAGTCGTTATAATAAACTTAAATAAACAAAAAGTTGATCTTTTTATAAGATCTTCTTATACAATAAAAATATAAAGATTATAATTCTTTCAAACAACAAATAACAACAGTTTATTTCATGTTGCTTGCGTGAGAACTTTGCCTGTGCCGGGGACACGTTAGTCCGTGGACCGCCGCGAATCAGATCCGGTTGACAGAAAAGTTAATGAATGCTCTTGTTGAAAACAATCGTAGCAGTGATAATCTCGACCAAGCGAGTTACGACTCTTCTCGAGATCAAAACCAAGTTTGATCCGGAGGAGAGGGGGAACGGGCCTTAGATCTCTCGAAATCCACTCTTTATGCACAGAAAATCATCAAGATCTAGCTAACCCTCTCTGAAATTCATGGCTCTTGGCTCTGCAATTCAGCAACACCTCGCCCTCTTTGATTATAACTCGCCTCCTGTGAAAGAAGGTCCTATGTTTGTATTTATAGGGCTTCAGATGCGGGGTATTTGGATAAAAATGAGAGATTTGGCCTTATCTTTAGTTGATAACGACCTAACCATGTGTAGAGATGATATCAAGTTAGTTGAGAACATCTGGAACGAATAAATCCCATAAAAACCACTTAAAAATCGTCGAAAACGCGTTTAAGGCTTAGGACTGTGCGAGCCACAATTTGGTGGCTCGCACATATGCGAGCCACCATTNACTAGAAGGTGGCTCGGCCATTGGCGGAGCCACTGGTTTTGGTCGAGTTGTTTTGGTGTGACTCGGCCGCCAGGGGCTGTTCCGGTTTTTCAGGTTTTGACTTGTTGCGTCGTTACGTGCGTTTTGTCGTTTCGTTGACTTATACGCTTCACCGATTCGCTTCATGCGTTTTGTTAATTTGGAGGTGGTTGATGAGCGCGCGGGCCACTTGGAGGTGGCTAATGAGTGCACGGGACACATGGAGGTGGCATTCCGATGGCTTGTTGCTACGTCATCAACGGTTTGCCGATTCGCTTCATGTGCTTATCAGCGTCAGATAATCCTCCTTTACTCGGATAATGACGTTCCGTCTTGAGCTGTGTTTGGGGACCTATAGATAATTTTTGACGCCTACATCCAAAAAATTATTTTCCTTTTTAGTGAATTTACTTCTAAATTAGAGAAAAAGAAATGATTGTCCTTTTATCGACAAAGAATCGTGAAGTTAAGTGGTTTCAGAGTGATCTCAAGATTTCATTTCTTTCATCCTTGCTATTTCTTTCTTGTTTTTATACATTTTATCAGAATTAAACTTCGTAAATATATTTGTATGATGATAGATTTTATATTTCCTCCAAAAAGTTAGATTTTTATTTATTTCTCCTAATTGTTGGCACATTGTCAAAGTGCATTTCTCTTAAATTTAGTCCTCTAACCATTAGACCAAAATTTTAAAGTTATGGTGATGGTCGATGATTGTAGTTTTATATTCATTCGCAAGTTGAGAGATATTTTTATAGGCTGAAGACCTGGAATCGCGTGGCGATAATGATTTTTTAAAAACTATATTAAATTTGTGGCCAGCAAGATTCGAATATGTGTTGCTTTGATACCATCTTCAATTTAGTCCTTTAACCATTACACCAAAACTCCAAAGTTATGGTGATGGTCGAGGATTATAGGTTTATATCTATTCTAACAATCTCAGAGAGATGTTTTAGGTTGAAGCATTGTTATATAAATTTCAAGTGACTTATTCTTTACTACCTCAATTTTAATGCATATGTGTGATATTTATATATTACTAGGTTTTATTCATGTGTGTAGGGTGAAAATTTGATTCTTCCGAAGAAAGGAGTTTCGTTTGTATTTATAAGAAAGCTTATTAACAAAACTAACAAATCAAATGGTTACAACAGAAGCAGAGGGAAGGCCCCTTCTTTGTTTTTGATGGGGGACTTTAGGTGGAACTATAGGACGCTCTCGCTCGACTGTGCTCGGGTCGGAGTCTGCGTTCCTTGGACCGTTTGAAATGACGGTTGCCTGTTGAGAGCTTCAAGTTCGCCAGTAGAAGCTCGCGGCAATGGACGTTCGGGTGTCTGCTTTATGTTCGTCGGCGATATACTATATAACGGCAGTCGGAACTAGGCAGGAGTGCTGCTAATGCAAGGATTTTGCTAACAACTTCGGTCTCAACTCTTTTTTCTAAGTTTTATGCGACCTCCCTTCCATCCGTGCCTGGAAGGCGGTTATTTAAATGAAAGAAGGACAGCTTGACTATCTCCTTGAATTGTGGGATGTGACACATCCATCTCAGAGACGTACTCCGCGTTCCTTCGATCACCATGAATGGTCATTCCAGGGATTGCTGCATCTCATGTCCTGGTCACCTACGATTGGGAAGCGCCCATTCTTGTTATGTGAGCGCAACAAACGACTGCTATCCGAGTGATTGACCAGCATTAATGACCGGCATTTACTGATCGTTTGCGCAGATCGCTATGAAGTGTCTGTCCGCCACTCACTTGTACTGTGCGTGACCGCCCGTGCGTGGCTATTGAGCACGATGCTTCTCCCTTTCCGTGTGCAAAAGGAGAGGCAGGTGTGAAGTAGGATACAGTTATCGATGTGGTCTAGGCCAGGCTTGCGAGTGCCGGCGGATCAGCTCCTTGGCTCAGACAGCCGAGTGAGTCGACATTTATGAATGCTCAGGGTTGACTCGACTGCCATGTCCAGTCCTTCGCGCTGTGTGCACTGTGGGGGCGGCCGTTTGACGGGTTCCTTGGGGTACTGTTGCTTTCTCTCCCTTCGGTCGAGAGAGATGTGGAAGGTTATCCATCTCAGCACGTGGGCGGGTAAGTGGATACCCAGCTGTACTGACCGGTCTTGGGGTTGGCTGTGCGGCATTCACTCTTAGGACTGCGGCAGCCATTGGCAGTTGATGTGAAAGGGCGAATCTCCTGATCGATCTTCAACTCGTAAGGACGCAACCATAGAATCGAGCTTAAATGATGCGAATGTCCATGCGATTTAGGCCCGTAGTCATGAGAACCGGCGTTCTGCGGCGCTGAGCTCTTCTCGCAGGCGGAATTTCCTGTAAGCTATTAGAGGTATTTTTACCGTTACAAGAACCCCCTTCAAAGTTGTTTCAGACCTAAACCGGCTATCCCCTCCTTTT